CAGGGCCCAGCACTCTGTCTGCTGCATGGCTTACCTGCCTCATTTGTAGATAGCAGGGAAGCGGTCAGTCGCCGGGGAGGGAGCATCAGAGGAGAGAAGGGGCCACCTGCTGGAGAAGGTTTGATGGAAGGGGACACGTGGAGCAAAGAGAAGGTCACCTCCACGTGTGAGACAGGGATGGAGGAAGGGAGGGAGGGCACTTGGCTGCAAGTGGCCTCCAGTACAAGGTGGGCCCTGGGAAAGGGCCCCAGGGAGAGCCCAGCTGAGCTTCGTACAGATGTGAATGGAGTAAAGTCCACGGATTCTGGAAATAATCCAAGGTTGGGACGTGGCAGGGCATGATTCAAGACAGGAGAAGGGAATGAGGGAGAAAGACCCAGCTCGCCAGTGAGTCAAGATGGGCGAGGGACAGAGTGGAGCCGGTGCAGGGATGGTGGCCTGGGAGTGAGTGACCTGTCGAGGGAAGATGTGGAGGGGGCAGTGGGGAAGAACAGGTTAGGGATCAGGAGGAAAGGGAAAGATGGCATGGGAAAAGATGGTGATCAGCTAAAGGAGGCCAAGATTAGTGAGAGAACAGGCATAAGCTGCTGCAGAAGAGGGGATGGAATGGGGCTGAGGATGTCTGTGAAGAGGTTCACTTCCCAAGGGAAGAGGAGAAGAGATCTGAGTGGTGTGAGAGGAGGTGGAGGGGAGAAAGAGATGGAGGGGGTTTGGCCGCTGGCCAAGGATGAGGCAGGGGCTCGAGCCACGGACTGCGGGTGTCCCTTGGGGCTCTTGTCCTGGGCCCTCTTCTCTTTTCTCTTCACGTTCTAGCATGGGGGAAGGGGTCTCATCACCTCCCATGGATTTTACTCATTTCTGGGTGGATGGTTCTTTGCAGATGGGCTTGATTCAGTAGAGCAGTCCTGTGTCAGGTGTGGGGGTACACGTGTCATCAGGGAAGCAATCTTTACCTGCAGCCACCTTCTATTGGCTGATTTTCTTTTTTACTCTGAACTTAATGTGAAAAAGAAGCGTTTCCATATAGACTGCTTTGTGAGCTCTGTGATGAAATGTGTTAGCCACGCCCTGACAGTTTGAATTTATTATATACTTTTCAAAGCACAGGAGGGATGAAATTGGGATTTCCAGTCTCCCTTACTATCCTCTTTGGGTTCTGCCATACACATGGAGATGTTCTTTTCTGGTGTTTTAGGTTCATAATAAAAACATAAAATTCAAAAAATGCTTACACACATAGTAGATAAAAAATCCTTTGGCAGGTTATGGGGAGCTTGGGGAGATGAGGACAGGCCTTTCTCTCTCCAGGAAGTGGCCCTGGGCTAGAATTTTGAAGGGAACTCTTGATTTCAAGAGGCGCAGGGGACAGCACATGCAGAGTTGTGGCAGCTAGAGATGCTGGTTTGTGACTAGGGCGCACAGAACGTAGACCAGTTTGGCTGGAGTGTAAGGTGCAGTGAGGGGGGAAAGCAGGGCAGCTCGGGGACTCAGTGGATACAGCCCCCAGGCCAGGGATCAGGAAGCCAGCCTCAGACTCTAGCTGTGTCGTTTAACTCTGCCTCAGTTTCCTCAAGGCACCCAAAATAGGGTCACAGAGTCAGATGCAGCTGAAAGGACTGAACAGTAGTAGCAGAAGGGTGGGAAAGTAGATGGTGGTCATATTATGACAGGCTTTAATGAACGCCAACCAGGAGTCTGTATTTTATCCCAGAGAGAAGGGGATCTGCCAGAGCTTTTGAGCTGGGTGTCACATGGTCAAATGTATGCCTCAGAACATTGGTTTGGTGCACTCTGTGAAGGAGAGGGACCCAGCCGCCATGTTGTTGGCACCTTGGTGCTTGCCAGGGGCGCTGGCAGCTCGGAGAAAGACGTGCCAAGATCCACTTGGGTTCTGGAGGCTGCCGGGCGAGAGCAGGCTCTCGGGCTGTATTTGCTTCCAGAAGACCTGGAAAAATACGTATTGTACTTTCCACCTGAACACAGCCGACGGTCATCGCCGCCCCGTTCAGAATCTCTTCTTGAGAAAATCTTGATTCCGTTTCCCTGGTGAAATGTGTTTAGTAGCAGTGAAAAAAGCAGTTGTTGCCATCTGGGGTCTCTGGTGGCCGCTGCCACCCCGTGCGCCCTCCCCCCAGGGCCACAGATGTGGCCGGCCGCTGCACATGCATCTGTCTCTCTGAGAGAGAAGGGATCAAACTGCAGCTTCTCCAGCGCTTTCCCTCCTTCCATGGGCACTTGTCTCCTCCTCTGCTGGGGCTCCTTTGGGCGCTGGAAGGACAAAGAGGGAAAACAACACAGCCCTTCCCCTCAGGAGGCTTTCATTTCTTCCTGTGGTGGAGGATGGGGAATGTGGCTTGAATTCTGAAAACCCAGAGCAGAGGACCTCACCTTCCATCTCCTGGAGCAGCTTCTCCTGCTGCACCTTTTCTTGCCTCATCTCGGCCTTCAGAGGGCAGAGAAGGAGGGAGGGGCCTCTCACCTGACCATGTGCCTTCCCTCTCATGCACCTGGCAGAGTGTTCTCACACCTGCTTGTACCCTTCACATCACAGCCATTCTGGCCCTGTCGGCCACCATCCTAGTCCCATCCCCCACCACCCGATTCCTTGTTCCCACCCCAAAGGTCCGATCAAACACCAGCCTTCCCTCCGCTGTGTCCTCTGGTGTGTTCCATAGGCAGCAAATTTCCCTTCACCCTGAATCTTTTCCTCTCCCACTCCTCCGGTCTCGTAGCTCTCATTGACGACAGCCTCCCTGGCCGCCCTTTCCCGTCCTGATGTGGGGGGGTTGGGGGACTCCTTGCTCCCCATCGTCACTTCCAGCTTCTCCCTCGGCCTCCTTCACCCAGTAGCCTCTCTTCCTTTGAGGTTCATGACATATCCTCCGGCCAGTCTGGATCCTGGTAGCTGTTGTCTGCAGACCCCGGGGGCCTCTCCGTCCTAACTCAGGGAGTTTGGCGTCTGCTCACAGATTTTCGCCCCTCCCCTCCTGCCCTCATACTCGGGGGCTTCATCATACGTATTGACTCTCAAGCAGGCAGGTGGTGCAGTAGATAGCGCTCTAGTCCTGGAGTCAGGAAGATCTGAGTTCCGATCTGGCCACAGACACTGAACTAGCTGTGTAACCCTGGCCAAGTCATTAAATCTCTGTGGCCTCATTCTTTCAGCCGTAGAATGGGAATACTAGCAGTACCGACCTTGAAGGGTGGTGGTGAAGATTGACATAATATTTGTAAAGTGTTTTAGCCTGGTGTCTGGCCCATAGTAGGTGCTACGCAAATGCTTATTCCCTTTCCCTTCCTTCAGGCACCGAGACCGCTCAGTTCCGTCACCTACTCAGCCTCCCATGAGCTGCTCCACCCCACCGCAACCACACATAAAGATGGTCATGCCGTCAATCTTGCATCACCCACAAATGTACCACCCCATGGCCAAGAATTCCAAAATCCGCTTACTTGATCAAGATCTGTTGACTTTCCACCTCTCCCTCTGCTTTCCCTTACATAACCGTATTCTTCATCCACACTGTGGCCTCCAGTCGACTGACCCCTCAGTCCTCTCCCAGGTGATCTCCCTGCTCTAGCCATCCTCTCTTCTTCTCCCCATCTCGACTCCTCGGGGACCAGTTCAGCTCTACACTGTGCGCCTATCTTGAGTTCCTCACCCCTCATCACATTGCTGATTACGCCCTGCCAAGCCTCAGCCTCGGATCCCTCTCACCCTCCTCTGCCTTCACCCCTTCTCGTGTGCTTCTGAACGAAGATGGAGAAAATCGTGCAACCGTTCTGACTGAGTTCACCACAGATTCATGTTGCACATCTTCCCCTGGGCCCTCACTGCTGCCTGGCAGTCCTCTGATGCCTCCTTCTCCCTCTCTCCACTGCTGCCGTTCCAGACCTTCTCATCCCCCCTCAAACTTCCCATGGCTCCCTGCTCCCCACTCTCTCAGCTGAGATCCTCGCCTCCCTCTTCTCTCACCTCCCATCACGTAGACCTCCTGGGTCTCTGCCCAGTGGGAGGGGGATCTTAGGGGCAGTCAGGCCGCCCATTCCCCACCCACCCAGTCAAACCCAAGGACACTCACTAGGCACTGCTGACCCTGAATGGAGCTGCCCGAGCCAGTTGTTGGGTCCTTCTGTCAGGGAGGGCCTAGCAGCAGGCCAGTGTTCCCACTCGATCAGCACTTGACCTTCCAGAAGGACCGGAAGATGATCGATTTAGAGCTACCTGGTTTCCTAGCTCAGGAACCTGTGATTGGAAGGAAAGGGAGGGAATGTCATTGGAAGGTTGATGAAGTTGCCTTCTCCTCTGATGGGGGAGGGCAAGAAGGGAGAGCTAACGTGCTTGATGACAGTCTGGTCCCAAATGCAAAGTCTGGGAGAAGGTTCAAAAAATCAACTTTCTCCTGGTCTCAAGTCGGGGCGGGGGGAGCGGGGAAGGTGACTAAAGCTAGGCATCCACGGGTGAAACTGTAGCTCTTTGTAAGGGATCAGGGCAGACTTAGGGGTCAGCACAGGCAAGAAAGGCATTAGGAATCATTTCAGTAAAATAATTGACACAGCCTCAGATCATGAGGTTGGCTTGAGGGCAGTGGGCTTTGAAAACCTCCTTTCTTTTACCCTATCTGAGGGGTCAAGGATTGGACCTTCTCCACGTATGGGGCAGGAGCTCCCTGAAGTCACTAAGAGATACCACTTTACCCTTTCCTACCTCACTCAGTCAACAGATAGTGATTTCAGTGCTTACTCCGGGCCAGGCATCATGCCTAAGACCGTGTAACCCGGCGACCTCTTTGGGGCCCACTTCTCCAGGGCACACGAGGAGACGTGAGCAGGGTCCTCTCTCCTTCCCTGCTCTGCAGGGGAGCCCTTGGCTGCCTTTGCAGCCGTGCCATGTGCCAGGGGATCGGTAACACTCACTTCACCAAGGATGCTCGGACCTTCCTGGGAAAAGTGGCGTTTTCTCTCCCTTGTGTCATCGACTGTTTTCTCTTCTTTCCTAGGCTGTTCAACCTGACCCTGAAGAAACTCGTCATGCTGAAGGAAATGGACAAAGACCTGAACTCCGTGGTCATCGCAGTGAAATTGCAGGTGAGAAGGACGGGCGCTGAGAGCGCCCCAAAAAGCCCCAACTAGGCTGCCCTCCCCCCGCAGCTCTGCTCTCTGTCCTGGGGGACCGAGTGCTGGGCAGTATCACCTCTGACATGCAGCACTCTAGTGTTTCTGTCCCTTCTCAGGGAAGTCGCCTTCAAACCTTACAGAGAGGGTTGTACTTGACAAGAATGTTGTCGGGGTCTGTGTGTTGGGAGAGAGCCGACAAGCAGTAAATTATCAAGAACAGGCCCCGTTGTTGAGGGAACAGACTTCACTTTTCTAAGGGGGGTGCTGTGGGTGCAGAATGTCGCATACGGCGTCAGATGTGTGGCGGTTTTGTCCATCGGTTTGCTTACCTGGTTTTCTTTCTTACAAAGGAATGTTCATTGTGTCACTTGTAGCGTATCAGTGAATGACTAGCCAATGTAAATAAGAAAAGAGCATCAGAAAACAGGTTGTACCAGGGCTTAACGTGTGTCTTTTTGGATGGGGTTCTGAGGCTAGATCAGGCGCGTGCTTTGGGCCTGCTTTATCCAGATTTTAACCCAGCATTTGATCAGGTATCTTCTCATGCTTCTTCTGGACAAGAGGGACAGCTGTGGACTAAACAGTAGCAGACTTGGGTCCATTCCAAACTCACAGAATGGCTAGACCCAGTGGGTTGTCAGGCCTTGTGGGCTGGAGGACTAGGGTGGGGGGTGGGGAGTGGTTTGTTTAAGTCATGTTTGACTCTCAGTATCCCCATTTGGGGTTTTCTTTGCAGAGATACTGGAGTGGTCTGCCATTTCCTTCTCCAGCTCATTTGACAGATGAGGAAACTGAGACAGACAGGGTGAAGTGACTTGCCCAGGTTCACACAGCTAGTACGTGTCTGAGGCCAAATTTGAATTCTGTTCTTCCTGACCCCAGGCCCAGCACTAATTACCTCACCACCTAGCTGCCATTAACACATGAACAGCCACAATTCCTGAGGACTCAGGAACCACCCCCTGACAGAGGACTCCGAGTGCGGATTTAGATGTGGCCAGCGACAAACGCTGTTTGACTTGACCAAGCATGCTTGTGACAGGGGATTTGTTTTCCTTGTGCTTTCGTTGTGGGGGGGTGGGGAGAGAGAAGGCTGATCTTTGTTTGAAAATAAAATTCAATTTTTAAAAAGTAAAAAGGGATGAAAACCAGACAAGAAATTATCAGCTGCCCAGACCCCCTGGATGAAGGCCAGGATGATGTCAACCTTTGGAGGAAAAGGCCCCTGGGGGAGAAGGTGAGGGGTCTCTCGTCCTGGTCTGATCTGGCCTTTGCTACTGCCTCCCCCTCTGAGGCCTGGAGAATAACTCGCCCTGACTTTGTACTTTGGTGCTTACAAAGTGCCTCCTGGACGTGCCCAGGTTTCCAGCTCAGCCTATGGCCGTTCGAGTTGGTGGAGAGAATGGCTCATGACCAGGGCGGGGCAGAGCTGGCAATGTTGCAGAAAGAAGACGCTCTTCATGCCCTCTGAAAGAGACTCCGGGGGAGGACAGAAAGCCCCTCTCCTCTTAGGGAAGGCACGCAGGCTCCAGCTCGCCTCCCCAGAGACTCAAGGGAGTGTCCCCTTGGGCAAGGTCAGACTCTCCCTTGACTGAGAGAGATCTGGCTAGCTCCAGCTGAAAAGGCTCATTCTTCTTATGTGTTTAGTAGAACTTCTCTGATTGATGTTAGCTATCTGCTTAGATAAATGGGTTTCCTCACTAATCGTCGTAAGTAAGAGTGTAATGATTTTAGTGGATTGCAGATTATAGAGTGAACAGTGTGATACATGGAGAGAGAAGCTGCCCCCGGGACCGAGGCAGCACTTCCCGAACGTGGTCAGACCTCGTGCCATCAGAAGCTTGATTTAGCGGCTCTGAGAGACAGTTCAGAAAGGGGAGGTCCTCAAGATAGGCAGCCGTTCAGGAGGCTGCCGTGATGGGGTAGGGGGAGGTACCCGCGTGAATGATGGAGAAAAAGTGAGAGGGTTTGTGGAACCAGAATAGAGGACTTGGAAATTGGCAGGGGAGAGGGATTGAGGATGAGGAGAAGGTGATGCTGCCCTCCAGAGGAAGGGAGAGGGTCTGGGGACAAAACAAGGAACTCTGTTTTGGCCATGCTGAGTTTGAGGTGAGGCTGGGTTGGGACGCTGTCCAGCAGACGCTGGGTCGTGGCAGGTTGAATGTGTAGCCTTGGGCACCATCTGCACCAAGATATTTGACCCCACGATGAGATGACTGAGAGAGAGTTTTTAGAGAAGAAAAAGCTCTGGCCAGTGCCCTAGGGAGTGGGATAGAGGTGATGGTCCAGAGAAGGAAGCTGAGATTACTCTTGGTGTGACTGGCCACAGAGGAACAGCCCAGAGCAAGGGCCGTGGAGAGGGAGACGTGGGTCGTCTGTCTTTCGGGAAATGCTTGGAGGAATCAGCGCCGTCTGGAAGTGGGACAGGTCGCTCTGCCAGCGGCAGTGGGCTCCTCACCATCGGAGGTCTTCGGGGAGGAGCTGTTTGCTTCTTCAGCCATGAATCGGACTGGTCGGACAGTCCCTTGAGTCGTCCTGAGCCTGTGGTTCTCTGACCTCTGTGTGGTCTCTCCCCAGACCCTGGTCAGCGGGGCACCCAGGTCTCCTGTGAATCCTGCTCTGGTACTGAGGAGCCACCGGCAGACAGCCAGGAGTGGTCACGTGCGTTCTGGTGCCACAGCTTGATGCCCCCACAGAGACAGGGCAGGGAGGCGGAAGAGCGCTGGAGGAGAGATTCAGAGCTGGACCAGGCCTTGGGGGCCCATGAGTGCCCCCTCCCCATTTTACGCGTGGGAGTGTTGAGGCCCCGGGGCCTATCCAGTGCCGTGGCTTCTCTCCGCACTGGGCTGTAGTCCTGGACTTCTCTGTTTTTATGTGCTCTCTGGTTTTCTCCATTGGAGTGCGAGCTCCTCGAGGGCGGGGGGGGGGGTTCTTTTTGCTTGTATTTGTCTCTCCTCTTCTTAGCACACAGCCTGGCACAGAGTAAGCGCTCAGTAAATGCTTGTTAACTGACTGGCTGACTGAAGGCTTCCTGAATCCTCGATCAGTGCCCTTGTCCACTGCACCAGGAGGAATTCTTGGGAGGAAAATGAAGTGGGTCTGGCCGCCTGCATGGGGGGCATGTGTGGAGTATGATGGGGATGCCCTCAGGCAACGATGCCAGGCTCCCCGAGGTCTCTGGAGATGGATTTCACGGGAGTTCGCAGCAAAGAGGCCGTGTCCTCGCCATGTGTGGTGATCGGCACCTGGCCCTAGCAGCTTAACTTGGCAGGCTGAAGGACTGAAAGGGGTTTCTTTCTTGTGGCACCCGGGGGAATGAATGCCTCCAGACTCCACACGTCTTTTCCTTCCACTTCCTTCAGGACAAGTGGGAAAGTGACATGGAAGGAAGAACTCTGGTCTTTCTCCTCCCCTCTCCCTGGCCACATCCTCTTTTTCTAGATCACAGACAGAGCTCCAGTTTGCGGCGGTCATCCCTGACACTAAAAGCTGCTGCTTTCCAGTGCAGATGGTCTTGGTACATTCTGCAGAAGCTCCCTGCTGCGCTTGCCACTCCCAAACTTGAGGGCTTTTGCCAAAGAAAATAATCTCATTTGTTTCTCGATTAAACGTTTAACATCATTATATAGAATTGGGTATTTTCCTAAACAGTTATAATAGTGATACTCGGAATTTTCTGGTGCTTTCTTTGTTTGAGTAGCTGAAAGTGATTATAGATGTTTCTTTGTCCATCCTCAGAATGCCCCAGGGAGGCTTCCCGGATCCTCCTGGTACACAAGAGGGCAGCCTGTGGAGATCCCTGAAAATTTTAGGGCACATTTGGGAACCGAACCCACGGGTGGTGGCTTCCAGTCCAGGGTTCTCTCCCACACTGCCGTTTCCTCTTAGAGGGCTTTCACTTTGCCCAGTTCACTCGTTGGCCCCCTGCTGCCTTCGCCTCTCTATCCACACTGCTCTTCTGAGCACTCCCATTTATTCAGCATGACCTGTGTCAGGTAATCAGAGAAGGTGGTATCCCATTTTACAGATGTGACCTCAGAGGGCTGAAGCACCCTAGATCACGGAGCTCGTTTGTAGTGGATTTCCTAGCTTCATCCCGTGCTGATTCAGCAGCAGCAGCAGCAACAATGATGGGAAATCCAAACCACTTACGCATGTCACAAAGTCACCGGAACCCAGCGTACCAATGTACTTTGGCCTCCTGGGAGGGAATATGCTGTCGCTCCTATTGGTCCAGAAATAGTGACAGCAGCTCTTTTTGTAGCAGACAAAATGGGAAGCAAAGGGGTTCCTACTTCCTACCGTCATTGGGTTGTTTCAGTCACATCCAGCTCCTAGTGACCCCATCTGGGGTTTTCTTGGCAAAGATACTGGAGCGGTTGGCCATTTCTTTCTCCAGCTCATTTTACAGATGAGGAAACTGAGGCAAACAGGGTGAAGTGACTTGCCCAGGGTCACACAGCTAGCCAAGTGTCTGAGGAAGGATGTGAGCTCAGGAACTGAGTCCAAGCCCAACGCTCTAGTTACTATGCCACCAGTAGATTACTGCTGCCAGGATCAGGAGAGGGAGGTGAGGAGAAAGGCTCCCTCCTCACTTCCTCCTGGCCCAGCGTGGTGAGCATGGCCAGGCAGAGCTACGGATGAAGGAAGGCAGATCTGTTGTTGGGAAGGGTGGGCTGGGGCGCATCGTCTCTGAAGGAAGCCTGGGGCCCTCCATGCTTGGCCTTGCGGGGCGGAACGGAGAGAGGTGAGTGGAGGGGAGGACTTTGTACCAATGTGAGAAGGGGCTGCTCCCCTCTGGGAGAACACCAGAGACAGTAACCAGCATTCGGGCCCAGGCCGGGCTGGCTGAGCTCCGCGGCCCCCTCCGATTCAGAGGCCAGCAGACCTGGACAGGAGCTGACCCGTCCTGGATAGAGGGCTCGGAACTTCAGCGCTCATGTTATTAATGCGGAGAATAAAAGCTGAGCAAACTCGTCGTGACCGTTCTGTTCACCCATCACAGCTTCCGTTCATTTCTTGGTCAGTCAGTACATTTTTATTTAGCATCTGAAAGTTTCATAGACCATAGAGTCACTTCCTTAAGAGAGCTAATTAACAGACAGGGGACCGTGGACTATCTCCAGCCACCGCAGAGGACGTCTTTCAGATGAGTAGCCGAGAAGGAGGACGGGGAGTCCACGTGCCGTGTGTCTGTCTGGAGGAGAGAAGGGGGATTCCCCAAGCACCAGGGGATCCCAGGAACCCTTGGAACAGCCACCGATGGAGTCAGGCAGCCTCCTAATGCACTTCTCAGTCTCCAGGGTCCCGTGTCCTCTTATACTGGGAAGCTGCCATCAGCTCATTAAGTGGAGAAAATTAATCCTGGGAATAACTGTGGTTCAGACAGATCCTCTGGCGCCTCGGCAGCTTCTGCAGATCTGTTTGGGAGGTTTAAGTAGAGATCAGTCCAACTGGAATTGTTCAAACCTGCCGTGTCACTGCTCTGCCTCTCCGACTCCTCGCGGTAGGACACGCAGACAGCCCCCAAACCCCGTGTGGGCCGATGTGCGTGGGCGCCGCAGGCTCTGGGGTATCTGTGTCGCCCCAGCGTCTCCCGGGGTGCTCGGTGGGTGTTTGACCGAATGCCGGACGGCAGCTGGATTGAGGCCTCATAGGGCTGCCAGGGGCACTTGTGCCCGCCCGGGTAGAATGGGCACCTGGGCTCCCATACCTTTCAGCCCTCAGGACGGTCCATACACCGCTCGTCTTCCCCAGTAACGGGCAGCGAGAATGGGTCGTGCCCGTAGAATGCTGGGCCCTCGTCTTTCCGTCGATGCTTGTGGAAGGAGCCGAGGTTATCCTGCCGAGACTCTCACCATCCCTGGCGCTGTCACGTACCTGGACACGCTGTCCCGGGTGCCGTGGCTCCCCTGAGGGACCTCCCCGTTTAGAGGCAACAGTTTTTGTGAGCAGCCTAGAATGGGGGTGGGGCCTCCTCCTCAAGCCTTTTGTGATTTTACCCTTACCAGGGAAGGGGAGCGTGTCGAGGCAGTGCAGGGGAGGTGTTGGGTGTCCAAACCTGCGTCAGTCAGCATGAGCGTGAGGTTTCATCCTGTGCCTGCTCCGCTGCCTGCAGACCTCCACCTGGAATGGCATCGGCGGTAGAGATTCAGTGACTTGGAGGAGGAGCCGAAAGGGACGGCCAGTCATGATCCAGAGAGACTCTGCGGGCTAGAGCATCGTGCTGCATTCAGAGGTGTATGATTCCTCGAAATGAGGAAGGGGCAGCTCCTGTGTACTCTGCCGCTGGGGGCGTTCTGTTCTGTTCTATTCTAGGGTTTAAGAAAGTTCTGGAGCATGTCCGGAGCAGGGCAGCCACGATAGGGAAGGCCTGGGGCGATGGCCCGTGAGGCTTGGTCAGGGGCACGGAGCGTTGCGGGGGGGGGGGGGGGAGGGGACCCGGCCAGCGGGGGAACGGAGGGAGGGGGCTGCCACCCTCGCTGGAGGTCTGGCGGAGGCTCCATCCCTACCCTCAGCTGAGTGCTGCCGGGTTCTTTTTGTATTTTGGGGGTCAGGAGGTAGAGCCTGCTGGGGCGGGGGAAGTACTTTCGTGTTTATTCTTCTGTCTGCCAACCCCTTTCAAACGCATTTGGGGAGATGGGAAATTTCCCAGCATAGGACACATTTAAATTGTGATCAAGGAATGAAATACAGGGAAAGTAGCAGTTATTTTTCGGTGTAGTAATAGTCAACTGTCGCTCCTGTACACATAGCAGCTTAAGCTTGCAAAGCACTTTGGGACCCTCACAACAGCACACAGTCCGAGGTGCTCAATTAGTTGTATGTGTGAGCACATTGAGACTTGGAGATTTTGCCTCACGCAGGGTCCAGCTGCTCATTAGTGGCAGCTGGTGGCTTCTCCATGGGCTCGGGGCATCTGAGCCTTCCAGGAGCGCGGGCCCCATGTCCCACCTTGCTGTCTCCTCCCTCTCTCTCCCCCTGCAGGGAGAGTGAACTGGGTTGACCCTTGGTGCCCTTGACCTGGACCACTGCAGACTCGGTCCTGTTTCCATCAGCCCCTGGTCTTCTTTTCCCTTCTTTTTTCTTCTTTGTTGCTAAAGACGTTTTTGAGGCTTATTATGCCAGCAGGGACTTTTACGGCAAGTGGTGTTTCCTAGATGCAGCCAGTTCTGGAATGGGAAGAATAAAGTAAAACTTTTAAAGACAAGAAGTGTGTCAGCTGGGCCGGGCCAGCCTCTGACCTCTGGCTGGCCAGAGCTGCACAGAACAGGCTAGAGACAGAAGCAGGAATCACACAGGAGGGAAACCTCTTGCAAGTGCAGTCCTCCTTCCTGTGAAGGGATACTGGGATATGGAGAACAGGAAGGGGAATCCACATGTCCCTTCAGAGTGCTGTTGGATAGGAGTTGCAGAAATGGCCTCCAGATGAGCTGCCTGGCCGTGTGGCCCTCGGGGCTTCCTGTGGCCAGCTGTCCCCTCGCTGAGTCTCATAGTGGTGGGGAAGGCTGTCTGCCCGGCCTGGGGACATCATGCTAAATATTCTTCTAGTACAAAGTTTCCATACACCCACCGTAACAAGTTCCAACTTCATTTCAGGGCTCGAAAAGGATCCTTCGGTCCAATGAGATCCTCCTTCCGGCCAGCGGCCTGGCAGAGACAGAGCTTCAGCTGACCTTCTCCCTCCAGGTGATGACCTGTCCTGTGGCATGGATCCCACCTTGGGTGGCAGACTGGGGAGGCTGTGGGACCCCTTCCCAGAATAAGCTTTTTAACGTGTTGATTCTATTGAAATGCAGTGATCCAAATATTTTTTAACAGGTTTCAGACTAGAGAGCCCTATGCAAAGGCTCGGGGCTCCAGTTTACTGTGCTCAGGATACACATAAGGCAGTCTTCTGTCCCCTAGAGACCGTTTGTATCGAAAAGGGGGTTTGTTCCATCCTAGACACTTCATTGGGGCGGCCCTAGCACGTTTGGCATGTCAACAGGCGCCACCACACCGGTTCAGGGGCTGCTGGTAGGGAAGAGGCTCGGCCTTCTGCTGTCATCCAGCTCCCTTTTAAAATCCCTTCACGGAATTTCAGAGTTGGAACAAGCTTGTCTGGCTTGTCACTGAACAGGGGTCCCCTCTAGGCCAGGCCTCACACAAGCTCTGGATAGCACTGGTCTCTAGGAGGTTTTTCCTGACATCAAGCCTCGGCATGGCTCCTTGCGAGTTCCACACCCGGGCCCTCTCCCCATGGCAGCCCTGCCCATGCTCAAGGCGGCCATGAGCTTGGGGCCCGGGGCCATTCTGCTTGCTGTCCTCTGGACGCTCCAGCTTGTGGACGTTCTGGCTTCCAAAGGTCTGCCCAGGAAGATGCCAGCCCCCCACCCCAGACTCTGAGGCCTCGGCCACGCCACATCTCACCTGTTCTGTTTCTTTAGAATCAGGGACACGCTTGTAGGGTCATGTTCTAGACACGGCCTCATCTCACCAAGTCTCAGTGGAACTTAGGAGGTCACATTTGCTTCAAAGGCAGGGGGTGTATTCCTGGCTTCTCCCTTGAATTCTGTGTCTCGACCCCTACTCCTCTTCCTCCACTTTAACTACCCTCTTTGGGACTTAATGTGACACAGCACAGGCAGCGCTCTCCCTCCCTTTTCCTTTTCAACATAAAGCCCACTCAGCAAATACGTTTTTGAAAAATTTTTTCAATAAACAAAAATTTCTTTTCCCTTACTCCCACCTTGGCGCCCAGCCTGCCATTTTCAGGAGGGAGAGAAGAAAAAAAAAACAAAACCTTGTAACCAATGTGCATAGTCAAGCAAAACACCTTCCCACGTTGGCGGGTCCAAAAAGGACCGATCTCATTGTGTAGCCTGACTCTCGCGTCTCTCGGGTGGCCGGGAGCGTCACCGTCCATTGCGTTGGTCAGACTTCTTAGCCTGTCGCTGGCCGTGGTCCAGGAACCTCTGACAGAAAGCTGCCTCGTTGCCCCTCCTCAGCAGGGATTCTCCGCCGCCATCCTTCTTTTCTCCCTCCGTCTGCCACGGGGTGGCCTTCCGCCTTGGGGTACCTGAGGGTCAGTCACTCTCTTTCTTAGCAGACACGAGGCTCTTCTCTTCCTCTTCCGGCGGAGCTTCCCAGCTCCTCTGATCCCCTGGAGGCCTTTTTCCTCTCTGTTTTCACTTTGAAGCCCTCCCTCCGTTGTCAGAGAATCTCTCCATTCTTCCTGGAGACCAGAGGGAGTCCCCCGAGCCTTGGAGCCTCACTGGGAGCCCCTTAGCCAGGCTAGGAACCCGGAAGCCACGAACTCAGTTGGGCCGCCGGGAGCGGGGAGCGGCTTCGGGGCCCGGAGGCAGGTCCAGCAGGGCCTGGACGACAGGAGCCTCTGCAAGGCCACCTCCTCAGCAGGGATGGAACGGCCTCCGGGTGCTTGTCCTCACTAGCTTCCCTGCCCCACCCCCGCTGCACGGGATGGAGGCACGAGGCGGAGCCCAGCCAGGGTGACCCACTCCCCAGTGCCCCTGCAGCCTGCTCACTCACCCTCGCGGTCCTCTGCCCTTTGCAGTACCCTCACTTCCTTAAGCGTGATGCCAACAAGCTTCAGATCATGCTGCAGAGGAGAAAGCGCTACAAGAACCGGACGATCCTCGGCTACAAGACGCTGGCCGTGGGGCTGATCAACATGGCGGAGGTGGGTGCGGGCGTCGGGCTCGGCTCATTCTCCTCTGCCTGAGTCTCCCTCGGCGCTCTGAGCCCAGGGTTCAGTTCTCTGTTACCTTAACATGGTAATTCCGTCTCCACCATGCTGGGCAGGTGCTCAGGGGCAGAACCTGGCCGTGGGCTGTGTGTGGTGACCGTGCCGGGGGAGCGGTGACCTGCTCCCGAGCGCCCACGCCCCTGCTCCCCCTCCCCCAGGTCATGCAGCATCCCAGCGAAGGTGCCCTCGTGCTCGGCCTGCACAGCAACGTGAAGGATGTCTCCGTCCCTGTGGCCGAAATCAAGATCTACTCGCTGTCGAGCCAGCCCATCGACCAGGAAGGGATCAAGTCCAAGCTGTCTGGTAAGAGGCTTGCCGACGGGCCCCCTCCCCGCAAACGCCGCCTTTCCAGCGGAGGAGCGACGCTGCCCCTGCGGGCTCGCGGGGTGTTGGCTCTGGCCTCACGGCAGCATTTGCCCCCAGACCGTTCTCCTGATATCGACAACTACTCGGAAGAGGAGGAGGAGAGCTTCTCGTCAGAGCAGGAGGGGAGCGATGACCCTTTGCACGGCCAGGTACCTTCCCCTTCCTGCCCTTCCCCCCCTCGTGAGGTGCCTGCGGAGGGGGCGGGGGAGGTGACGCTGTTCTCCCGTTAGGACTTATTCTACGAAGATGAGGATCTACGGAAAGTGAAGAAGACCCGGAGGAAACTGACCTCAACCTCTGCCATCACAAGGGTGAGCCGAGAAGGCGTCCTCCCCATGCCGGCCACGGCCCTCTGTCCCTCTCAGAAATCAGGCTGTGGCCTCGGCGTGCCCTCCACGAGCTCCCCTTTCCTCGGTTACTCAGAGCAGGTCCGTAAGTCAGTCAGCCTTTATGAAATGCCCGGGCTGGGTGCTGAGGACACCGAGGCAGAGGTGACCTTGCTCTCAGGGCTTGCGGAGGTCAGCGTGCCAGGAGCATCTTTGGGCCTCAGCTCCCTCCGACATTGTGAGCCGGCCAGCCTCCTCATGTTTGCTCTGAGCCTTCCCGACGCACATTCAGAGCAAGCCTAGATGTTAAGCGTCCGTGCCGGACTTTCCTACCAGATCTTAGGAGCTGGGCAGCCACACTGTGACGTTGTCCCCTCCCAAGTGGATCATTACAGGTGGTCCCTGTGGTCTTGTCTTGGAATCATCGCACCCACCCAGCTGGGGATGGGGAGTGCCCAGAGTGAGTCTGCCCAGAGATCCTAGGTGTGGCTCCGGGCATCTGGGGTGGCAGCCCTCGAGGTGGGAGAGTAGGGAAGCGCAGCGCAGCCCCTGTGTGGGCCAGTGGCCGGAGGCTCTCCTTAGCCCCTCCCCTGTTTGGGGGAGGTGAAGGTGAGGGCCTAGCACAGACACCCCAGGCACCGTCTGATGATGCTTGTTCAATGTCCTTGCAGCAGCCCAACATCAAGCAGAAGTTCGTGGCCCTGCTGAAGAGGTTTAAAGTCTCCGACGAGGTACCCGGGCCCCCCTATCCTGACCCCTTCCCAGGGCTGGACAGGATTGATTCCCAGGGGGTTGTGGGGAGGGCATTTGCAGTCACGCCAGAAGAAGTCACTCAGGTTTTTACTGACCATCCTCTCTGGAGACCCGAGAGTCACAGATAAACGAGGGCTCTCACCTCCTCCGCCAAGGGCTGGTGAGAAGGGGCAGGATCCATGGGATCACTGGGGCTTCTGCCTCCCTGCCCCCTTTCTTGTGGCCACGCCGCAGGAAGGGCCCTCCTCTCCAGCCCACGTTAATCAGAGTTCGGATGACTGGTCTCATTGCACTGCTCACTTCCCGTGATGTGCCGGGGGGGGCCGTGAGGTGATGTGTCCAGCTGCCCCAGAATGCAGTCTTTCTGACCTGGGCGGGAGCGGGGGAGTGGGCAGGTGGCCCGGTGAGCTCACCCGCTGCAGGAGTGAGACCTCTGGAAAGCCTCTGGGGCTCCCTTGGGAAGGACACCTGCATGTTTCAATGCCCTCCGTCCTCCGAGGGGTTAGGGAGCTTCCCTGAAGAGAATCGGGAAGGGCCACCGATGATTGCCCAGAGATTAATTACTAGCTCTCATGCCCAGGGTTTTGTACCCAAAGGAAGAAATTGCCTCAGTTTCCTCCTCTAAAAGAAAAGGGTTGGATTAGGTGACCTCTCGGGGATGGGGCAGCGTTGTCCAGCAAGGCTCGCAGACCTCGAGCTGGAAGGGACCGCCCAGGGCGTGTAGCCTGACGCCCTCCTTTTTATAGGTGTGGACACTGAGGCCCAGAGGTGAAGCAGCTTAGTAAGGTCACCCAGGGCCCTAAGTGGCAGGGAGCCCAATCTGCCTTGCGCCCTCCTCTGCCCTTCAGCAGGCCTGTTGGGCACCTCCCCTCACTGAAGCAGGTGGAGGCCTTGACTCCTGGTGCCTTTGCCCACAGGTGGGCTTTGGGCTGGAGCACGTATCGCGGGAGCAGATTCGGGAAGTAGAAGAAGACCTGGATGAGCTGTATGACAGCCTGGAGATGTACAACCCCAGTGACAGTGGGCCCGAGATGGAGGAAACGGAGAGCGTCCTGAGCACCCCGAAGCCCAAGCTCAAGTGGGTCCGCGGGCCCCTGCCCCTGCCCCTTCCCCCAAGGCCCCAGGGACTCGCCGGAGGTCCGACGTCCTGGGAATAGACTGCTACACCCCGTAGGACCGAGGATGGGTGCCTGTCCTTGCTGAAGGCCCTGGATAAGCCTGCCCTTGCTCGCCTTTCCATTACCTTCCATTCCTTCTCACAGCCATGGCTGGTGGCATCACAGTGTGACACCTGAAGAGCTGGGCCTGGGCCCCTCACCCGCTCCTCCCGTGGGGCCTGGCCGCATTGTTCTCTGCAGGCAGATGTCCCCGTCAGTGATGCTGCCTCTCCTTCTTCCTTGCAGGCCCTTCTTTGAGGGAATGTCTCAGTCCAGTTCCCAGACGGAGATTGGCAGCCTCAACAGTAAAGGGAGCCTGGGAAAGGATGCCACCAGCCCGGTAAGCAGACTGGCATGCAGGGAGGGCGGGCAGCCAGGTGCCCGGTGTGGTCACGCTCTGGGACAGTTCTCGGGAGCCTCTCTTCCTTCTGTCAGAGTGAGCTTGCTGCATTTGAGATTTAGCCAGCACTTCCTAGGGTCCCGATTCTGTGGCGCAGGCCCTGTGCTGAGTGTGCAGGAGGGCAGGGAGAGAGCGCCAAGTGTGCAGGAGTGGGAGGGGGCAGAGCACCGAGTGCGCAGGAGGGCAGGGGAGGGAAGGCCGAGGGGGCGGGGGGGGGGGCAGGAAGCCTGTCCTACAGGGGCAAAAGCTGAGAGGAAGCAGCTAGAGGCCAGGGTTCTGGCCAGGCAGAGGAGTGGTCTGCCTGAAGTTGGGATGTATGCGTTTATCCAGCACTTTGTGTGTGCCAGCTGCTGCGTCAAACCCAAAGGGCGTGCGTAGACCACTCCAGATGGAGGAGGATTTTCCTGGGGGGCTGCGTTTGCCGCCTGTTGGGACGCGCAGCGGCAGCATTTGGCCGAGACGGTCAGAAGGTCCCCTCTGCATCCGCCGTGGCTCCCACTTTGCTGTCCGCCTCTGGTAGGCTGTATGGGGGAATTGAAGCCTTTTCTTTTCGGGAATCATTAACAAATGAATGAATGAGAAAACACTGGGACCCTTCCCGTGTGCTGAGCACTCTACTAAGTGCTGAGCATCACCCAGGGAAAAGCCAGGGCCCTGCTGTCCAGAGGGCCTCAGGAGTGGCCCCAGGCCCTCCGGGCGCTGCCTTGACCCCTCCTCGGCAGGAGCTTTTTGGTTCTCTCTCGGCTGGGTTGATGGCTTACAGCCACAGTCAAGCCTCCTTTCTTTTCATCCCCGGAAGTCTCACCACTCCACACCACAGCCAAAGGTCCAATGCAGTTCAGATTGTTGATCAAGCGGGAATGAAAAACGACTTTGTTCAGAAGGCATGACGGCTGCCCTTAGTTGCATTCCCCCCAGTGACCACCAGGTGGAGCTGCCCCACCCCATGTCCCCTACCCCAGTCTAAGCTCTGGTGGCTGGTGTGTGGGTTGGGGTCTGCAGGGGCCGCCATACTGTACTGAGGGAGGAGTGGTGCCCAAACAGACCGTTTTCGGCCGGCCTCTGGGAGGTCCCCTGGCTGGGTAGGCGTGTCGATGCCTCAGACCGCAAGGATGGAGCCCTAGGTCTGTGGTCAGAGATGGGGCAGAGGACAGCTATCTGCACTGGTGGAGTATGCCTTGATGTTTGAAGGGCCATCATCCAAGCAGCTAGGCCCATTGACAGCCGGCTGCAGACCCCATCTTAATGCCTGTGTGTGCACACGTGTGCACCTGTATGCATACACATGTGTGCACACATACATGCAGAAAAGGTGACACCTAGAGCCCTGGCAGGCTGTGCAGTGGGCATCAGGTAGGCTGAGCCCCCAGCCTCACCTTGCTGTTTGTAAAGGCTGTGCTACCAAAGCTGCTTGGGCCTCACGTCCTGGCTGGTGGACCTCTGTTCTCCAAGGACCAGCTGAGCTCAAGGGGCCACAGGGGAAGCTGGGGGTGGGGGGGGGGGTTTGGCCAGAGCAGCTCTGAGTCCCCTTTGGTCAAGGGTCACACAGCGAAATGGCAGGCCCTTGAAAGAATGGGACAAGAGGAGGGGGCCCCTGGAGAAGCCAGATGACAAAATGAGTGGCTCTTTTAGCCGTTTTTTAGGCCCTTGAAAATGTTGGCAGCTTCATGACAGAGTTCGACGTCTCGCCAGGTTTGGAGAAAGCAAGCTGCCTTTTTTTTCCCCCTGAGGCAGTGGGGTGAAGTGAAGTGACTTGCCCAGGGTCACACAGCTAGTGAGTGTCAAGTGTCTGAGGTCAGATTTGAAATCAGGTCTTCATGAATCCAGGGCCGGTGCTCAATCCATTGCGCCACCCAGCTGCCCCGGGAAGCTGCTGTTTTATTTTTAGTGAGACCTTCCAGTCCTGGTTCCTATTACGTGAGTGAGACTGTCCGAAGAAAGTGGGGCCCTTGACCACAGTCAGCCTTTCACTCGTGGTTCACTGAGACTCACCCATGTCTGGTGGGGTGGAGTGCTTTGGGATCCTTCTTATGATACCAGGAAGACTTGGGCTTTGAAGTCTTTAAAACGGAGGGCACGAGGACCTCAGCGACTGGACGATGCCCAGGCGGGCTCTGCCTTGTCCCTGTTGGCTTCAGGCCTTTCTACTCGTTTCTGGTCCTTCCTCCGGCCTCTGGCCCCCAATTGTTGTTGATGCACAGCCATCCCAGTGGCCAGTTTTCCCAAGAAGTCAGCCCGTAGCAGCCGTGTAATGTGGCAGCTCCTGACTTGGGGCGACCTGCTGATCTGAAGGCTTCTGGCACAACGTTTCTGGTGAAGGCAGCAGGACATGTCTCACAGCTGACGGTGCCTGCTCCAAAATGCGATTTTTCACAGAATGTTACTTAGTTTTTAAAAACTAACTGGACACACTCTTCCTCCCCTCCAGTTCCTCCAGTTTGGCCTCTGAATCAGCTACCCCCCAGGCTCGGTACCTTTCCTGGGAGGCCAAGCGAGCGCTCCCTAGGGGACTGCAGCACAGCCCCTCTGATGCCCGTCCGCTGGAGGCCCAGAGGGCCCTCTTTATGTTTTATTAGACATGGAGCGTGACAGAGCTGGGAGAGCCCCGCCGAGGACGCCAGGGGCGGCAGCCGGCTCCCCCGGGGCCTTCCAGGCCCTACCCAGAGGCTGCTGCCATGGGCACAGCGGGGCTGCTTCCAGAGACGTTCAGCTCTTCTCTCACTGGTGGAGTTTGGGTCCAGCATTGTGGGAAGCCCAGATTCACGACAGCTCTGAGCATGCTCTCGTAGACTTCGTTATCAGCCAGTCTTGACGGAATAGGCAAACACACAAGCACTCCTTACTGGAGATGTCTCATCCAAACCCTCCCCAAGCGCAGGGGGCCTGAGTGACCAGACCTGGCCTAGCAGAGTCCCCTGCTGCTGCTTGGGTGACCCTCGTATGCGGGCTTGCCTATCTCCCCCCCCCCCCCCCCCCCCCCCCCCCCCCCGCCGCCTTCTCCCCTCTTGTCGTTTTGGGGAGGTTATGCAATGATGTCAGGGCTTAGGAAAACAACAGGAGCTTTCCCCAATACACAGGAGAGGGTGGACCGTGTGAGGCCAGAGCGGGGGGAGGGAAGAGCCAGCGCGCCCTGTGGGTCTCTGCTGTGATTTCTTGGTCCCAGAGGCTGGGGCCCACTTGTTTTTGTTTATAAGAAATGCCTGAACACTTAAAGGCAGTGCCTCTGGATCAAGGGACAGAATGTCCAGATGTGAGGCTCTAGTCCCAGGGCAGGAGGAGAGCCGTCTGGAAGCTCCCACCCAGCGGGAGTGGCCCTGAGGGCCCAGACTGCAGGCCCTGCATTCCCTCTACGGCTCCCTTTGGTTAGCAAGAAGGAAGGCGGAGCTGTTTTTAAGATAGGAAACCAGCCCACCTGCATAGTTAAGCTTCTGCAGTGTGCCAGGCCTTGGGCGTGCTGCTGAGGACGCAGTGATGAAAGGGAACGTCCTGATGGGGAGATGGACACGCTTCTGTGGTTCTCTACAAGGCAGGCTTTGGGAGGAAGGGGCTACAGGGGCCGGGGTGGCCCTTCGGCACGAGGGAGGGCTGGGGCCGCGTCTGGAAGGAGCTTCCGGGCAGAGGAGACATGCGGTGCCGAGCAGGGGCGCTCTCTGAGTAGGGGTGATGTGGCCAGGCCTGTGCTTTAGGAAAATAACTGTGGCAGAAGTGGAGGCACGGAAACCCATTTGGAGGCCATCACAGCCGTCCAGGTGGGAAGGGATGGAGGGGAGCGTTTATGAAGCCCCGACACTGGGCTAAGCACTTTGCAAATGCTGTCTCTTCTGGTCCTCGCACCAGCCTTGTGAGGAAGACGCTGTTGTTATCCCCATTTTACAGTTGAGGAAACTGAGGCAAATGGAGGGGATGTGATTCTGCCCCAGCTGGGTTTGGACTCAGCTCTTCCTGACTCCAGGCCCAGTGTTCTATCCACTGAGCCACCCAGCTGCCTGTGATGGCCTGAACTAAATGGTAACTGAGTGACAGGAAAGTGGCCTGGGTAGAACTGGGCCTGGAGTCAGGAAGACATGAGTTCAAATCTAGCCTCAGATACAAAGAAGCTGGGTAGCCCTGGGCAAGTCACCACACCTCAATCTGCCTCAGTTTCCTCTTCTGTAAAATGTGGATAATAACAGGATATGAGCATCCAGTGGGCCGGTTATTGTAAAGTGCTTAGCCCGGTGCCTTGCATGTAGATGCTGGCTACTGTTACTGTTTTTGTTAGTAAAGGAGGATTGATTTGGAGACAGAAACAAGGATTGGCGGCTGATTGGGTGAGTGTAGTTGAAGAGCCCGGGATGACGTAGAGTTGTGAGTCTGGGCGCCTGGACCGACAGCAGGCGGGATTCTTGGCGATGCAGTAGGGTTGCTCTGCCAGCCCCTTCTGAAGTCCCTTAGGCTTTGCCATCTGCCTTATCTCTGTGCCCTGCGGTCTGGGGGAACCTCGGCTCTTCTGATAGACACATGATGGTTTGAGGCATGAGATGAGACGCTGGCCTTCCTCCGGGTCCCAGCTAAAGCCCGCCTTCTCCAGGAAGCCTTTCCTAGCCCCTCTTCTTCCAGCTCCCGCCCTTTCCCCATTTCAACTTCTGTTCTCTGTAGCTTGTTTTGTACATGTCGGTTTGTGGTCGTCCCCCACCCCTTAGAGTGTAAACTCCTTGAGGTCAGGGTCTTGTCTCCTCTTTGTGTGCCCAATGTTGAGCACAGCGCCTGGCGCGTTGTAGGTGCTTAATAAACGTTGGTTGGTTGATTGATTAGAACTTAGGAGAGAGCCTGGGGTTGGATAAAAATCTGGGAATCTGTGAAAGCTAGTGAGATCAAGTAAGAAACTAGAAGAAAAAAAGGCTCAGGCAGAACCTTGGGGCACACCCACACTCGGCAGTTGTAGCATAGATGATGACCGCAGTTGGCGATGGAGACTGTAGGAGGAGACCAGGGAAGGGCAGTGTCATGAAAACCCAGCCAGAAGCCAGGGTGGTCAGCACTGACAAGAGTTGACTGAGAACAGACTGCCAGATTTGGCAGTTAGGGTATCATTGGTTACTTCGGGGGGGCACTGTTGACATCGGAAGTTGGACTGCACAGGGTCAGGGAAAGAGGAGTGGGGGCACCCAAGGATGGGCAGCTTTCCCCGGAGGCTGGCAGCAGGATGGCAGCATCTACGGAGGATCTTTTTGGGAAGGGAGTTGGGCGTGTCTTTAGGCATCTGGGAAGGACCCAGAAGATCACGAGGGGTCGGAAATGACTGCATACAGAAAGGGGGTGATGGTGAGGGGCAGTCTGCTGACGGACATGGGCGGTGGGAGCTCAAAGGTTTGTTCTTAGACAGGAGCTTGGGAGGACAGGATGGGGGTCGAGGAGCTGGGGGCAGGACATGAGAGGGTGGGGGAGACTCAGGAGGAGAAGACTGGGACAATTAGTAGCCTTGGTGCAAGGAGGACCGAGGGGCAGTGGGAGAACAGGAACTGGTAGCGGCCCCTTCCTCCAGCGCCACTCAGCACACGTGGAGGAGTGGAGTCATCTAGGGCTGGGCTTTGACAGGGCACCAGAAGCTACGGGACAAAGGTTTGAAGAGACCAGAGAGTAAAGGATTGTGCCGAGTTTGGTTTGAGGTGAAGAAGGCAGGAGTCTGTGGCCAGAGCCTTAGAAAGACCTGAGGAATGGGGAGGTGGGGAGGGGGAGACTAGGGAGAGATGGGACAAGAAGAATATTCCTTGACAAAGGAGCTTGGTCATGAAAGGGGAACACTCGTGGGTAATGATCAGACCAAGGGTGTGAACCCCCCTGAAGGGGTCCTGGGAGCTGGGTGGAGGCACGTGGAGGTGAGAAGATTTCAGAGAACACCAGTGTCCTCGTGGGCAGGAATTGGGGGTGGAAAGGGAAGATGTTGGGGGCACGGTGGGTGGGCGCAGGGGAGCCAGTAAGGAACAGCCACTGTGGTCTGGATTGGGAGATAGATTGGGGTAGAGTGAACCTCACAATCTAAGGAGAGGCTTCTGCCTGGTGGTGACAGATGGAGAGTGCAGAAGTGGCATTGACTGGCAGGGACGCAAGGCAAAGCCGGTCTCGAAAGGGTGGCCAAGGGTGCAGCGTGTAAGAGCCAGAGGATGGAAGGAGCAGAAGGGGAAGTCGGTTAATTCTGCATTGGGAGTGCCAGAGGCGCTGGAGGGGCATAGGGTCCATCACTGTGGGGGAGGGAGCAGCCAGGGCCGGCAGCCGTTTGGGGCAGCAGACTCAGATGGGGCCAGGGAAGGGCAGATGCTGGCGCCATGACTGATTGCGTCATCACCTTGATAGCTCCAGGAGTCACCCGGGGGTGACTCGGGGCTGGGCTTTCCAAAGGTTCTTATGATGATGATGGCCAAGGAGTGTTCTTTGAGCACCTTTGAAACTATGGTGAAACTTAGGATAAAGGAACATTTTTTTAATACTGATTGATACTTGGGGCTCTTACAGTTGGAATTGACTGCTCTGGACAGAGTCAAAGCTACTTCTTGGATCAAAAACCCGGATGACAGTCTGACTGAGAACGATCCTCTGGTATGTGTGCGTCAGAGTGCTGCAGGTGGGCATCCAGAAATGAGACTCTGAGCTCGCCAGGCCACTGCCTGGGTCCCTCCGGCGGCCAGGCTTCCCCTCTGGTGATCATCTCTGCCAACACTCCCTTCACCCCAAGGTCATCCCTTCCCCTTTCAGTCTACCCCAGCTTTAGCTGGTGGCCATGTTGTACCTCCCTTGGGGACAGTCACTGTGTCTGCCACAGTCTTGGGTTCTAATTCACCTTGAGAGAGGGCCTTGTTTGACAGCCTCCTGAAGATGGGTCTTGAGCAGGGCAGAAAATGGGGGTCATTTAGCCTGGTCCTTGAGAACGTCCAGAGCAGTCTAGCCTGAAAAGGGGTTCCCTGTCAGTTATGATGAGGTGCTCCAGGTGATAAGGCAGGGAGGGAGAGATGAGCTGTGATTTGCATCATTGCAAGGAGTACCCCATCAGGGGCTTCCAGGCCCACTGGAATCTTAGGGTCCTGTCGGGCAGGGTCAATGGGTACAAACGGCGCCCTCGCTTCTCCCCCTCTGTGACAGGACATCAGTGACCAGGACATGTTTGGAGACAGCAGCACCACCCTGGTTGTGCCAGAGAAAGTGAAAACACCCATGAAGTCGGGCAAGGCGGATCTCCAGGGCTCCGCCTCCCCCAGGTACCTGCAGGCAGAGCTGAGCCTCGAGCCTCGTGGATCCCTCGGACCCCTCGGTAGCGGTAAGATGTCATGTATACCTTCCTCTCCTCATCTCTGGCAGCAAAATGGACGGGGTGCATACCCCCAGGCAGAAGAGGAGTACCCCCCTGAAGGAGCGGCAGCTCTCCAAGCCTCTGAGTGAGAGGACGAACAGTTCGGACAGTGAGCGGTCTCCTGACCTCGGCCACAGCACCCAGGTAGGTGTGCCCTGAGTGTGAGACCTCGGGGTGCACACAGATGGCAGCAATCACATTTCCGTAGTGCCCATTGCATAGATGAGAACATCAGGGAAAGAGATTCCGTCCTGTTCTGTCTTTGGCTGCTTGGTAAATTCTGTCTGAAGTTCACAAGCTCCTGGCTCCTCCCAGTAGACTTGCAGGGAAGTTCTGTTCCCTTTAAGCACTGAGTGGAGACCTGTTGATTGATTGATTGAGAAGACCTTTGCCCCAGGCCCCCTTCCACCCGCCACTCTACCCAAGGGTCTGAGGCTGCCCCCTGCCCGGGCCCTGTGTCAAATAGTGTTTTCTCTGTGGCACTGTGTCTTTAAACTGGGGATTCCGGAATGGGGAAATATCCCATTTTGAAAAATGGATCAGAGGTGGGGGGCGTCAAGGGAGCTGCAGTGTCCAGAGCAAGGCAGCCAGAACGGCAAAGGGCCTGGAGGGTCACGGGGTCTCTATAGTGTGAGGGTGGAGTGGAAGATGGGGCTCAGGTGGGGGGGACCCCCAGACCATCTGTTTTCCAGGAGTGGTTGAGGGTTAGACTCGTTCTTGGTCCAGAGGACAGAGCTCGGCACCAGGGGGGCACGTTCCAAGGAGGTCTGATGTCAGGAAGACCTGGGCTTCCTCAAGAGACAGTGCCTGTGCTCTGGGGTCTTGGGGCAGACGCCGGGCCAGGGCATTCTTGTCCGTGTCGGGGTCAGATTGGATCCTCTGGTTCCCCCGCCCCCCCAGCTCCAGGACTCTCCTGGTGATGCTGCTGGCCACGGGCTTTCCCAGTGAAGGCTGGTGACATTGTGAGGATGCCTCAGACAGGTGACAAGTGAGGCGATTCTCTGGGCTGGCCCACCCCCTGTCCCCTGGTGGTGCCAGTCTTAGGGAAGAGGCCAGCCCTGTGAGCACCTGCAGGCCCGTGTGGGGACTGACATGCCTGTCTGCTCTCCCGTTCCCCGAGCCTGCGCTGCCGCCACCCTGGCTCCGGCTCCTCTGCCTTTCCTGTTCATCGCGATGCAGGTCACACGTCTCAGGCGCTGCCTGCAGCTGCCCCCTCCCCTCCATGCGGAGGCTCTGTGCCCAAGACCTGATTCTCCTCCCCATCATCCCCCTCTCTTCCTTCCCTCCCCACACGGGCCCCTGGGGAGGACCTGATGGAGCACCTTCGCCCCTGTCTCTGCCTAGGTCCCAAGAAAGGTGGTATACGACCAGCTGAATCAGATCCTGGTGTCTGACGCAGCCCTCCCAGAAAACGTCATCCTCGTGAACACCACCGACTGGCAGGGCCAGGTGAGGGCGGAGGGGGACGGCCTCGCCGCTGCTCAGTCTCTGGTGCCCCCTGGGCCTCGTCCCAACCTGGACCATGGGCGGGCCACAGTTTCCTGAGGTCTGAGTCGAGGATCCAGCGCCTAGAGTCCTAGGAACAACTCACAGGAGGGTCTCCCCAGGAGGCCCCTGGGGGTTAGCCCTGGCCCAGACTCCTGGAGGGGCCGGCAAGGGCAGAGTCAGGGACCCTCATTCCCTCGCTCCAGCCTGACCCACAGCCTGTGCTTCCCTTCCAGTACGTAGCAGAACTGCTTCAGGACCAGCGGAGGCCCGTGGTGTGCACGTGTTCCACCGTGGAAGTCCAGGCTGTGCTCTCGGCCCTGCTCACCCGCATCCAGAGATAGTAAGGGCTCCGACCCCCGCCCCTTCTCTGAAACCAGCCATCGACCCCTGCATCGAAGCCCCTCCCCCCAAGAAGCCCCAGGGGCGGCTGGAGGAAAGGTCCGGTGTCCTCAGCCTCTGCCAGGCTCGAGGCCGGTCACCGGCCCCTGTGCCCCCAGTGCCTTTCCGTAGGCCCTGCGCCTGCATGAGCAGCCCCTGGGAGACCACTTCACCGCCCGCCCCCTGCTCCCTCCCCAGCTGCAACTGCAACTCGTCCATGCCGAGGCCCGTGAAGGTGGTGGCCGTGGGTGGCCAGAGCTACCTGAGCTCCATTCTCCGGTTCTTTGTCAAGGCCTTGGCCAACAAGACGTCCGACTGGCTGGGCTACATGCGCTTCCTCATCGTCCCCCTGGGTGAGCGAGGGCGTTGCTGCCGCCGCAGGGGCAGGGGGATCCAAGGGGCCAGGGCACGGGCAGCCGGCTCTCACCCACGGCATCTCCCTCCGCCAGGCTCTCACCCTGTTGCCAAGTACATAGGCTCGGTGGACAGCAGGTACAGCAGCACCTTCCTCGACCCAGCCTGGAGGGACTTATTCAGCCGCTCGGAGCCCCCGGTTTCAGGTAGTGGCCCTGAGGAAGCACCGCAGGCAGGCAGGGGCGGTGCCCCCAAGGCACCCCCGCCTCGCCACTGCTTCGTCATCTGAGAAGCCGGCGGGGTCCTTTGGAGTCTGTTTCCAGCGTGGGCCCGGAGGCAGCCAGAGGTCTCTCCGAAGGCCTCGGGGCTGAGCCCTGGGATTGGGTCTAAGTCCCCTGCACTCAATGAGCTTCAGTCTTGGGGGAGCCGTCCAGGCCAGGGGCTCAGCAGCGGGTGTGGTGAGGGAGAGAACTGGAGGGGGAGACTCCAGAGGAGACAGTGGGCAGAGGTCGATGATGAAGGCGGCGGCTGGCGGGGCTGAGAAGGGTCAGAAAGGCGGCCGCAGTCTCGGGCCCCTGGGTGAGCGGCCCTCCCCGCCCTCCTTCTCCGCAGAGCCGCTGGACGTGGTCGGCCGCGTGATGCAGTACGTGAGTGGGGCTGGTGTGACGCACCAGCTGCCCGTGGCGGAGGCCATGCTGACCTGCAAGCACAAATTGTGAGTACGCATTTTCCCCTTCACTCTGGGAGTCTCCTGGCAGCGCCCCTGCTCACACGGCCGTCTCCCCTTCTTTCCCAACAGCCAAGATGAAGATTCCTACCAGAAGTTTATTCCCTTCATTGGGGTGAGTCCCCCCTTCTCCTCCCACGAGCCCCCCAGGCTTTGGGGCTCTCCTGTGGGCCCCCACACCCCCCTGACCGTATGCCGTAGAGGGAAACCTCTCCTGGCCAAGCTCCTGGTGATTTGGGGACCGTGGCGTTTACTGCCCGAGCAGGGAGTAGAGAAGGAAGTGCAAAAGCAGCCTGCGTCTTTCCCTTCGGGGAGAAGCCATGGCCTGGCCTGTGGGCCTCAGCTGGCCACCAGTCAGCGTGCATTGGAGGGCCGGGAAGCAGAGCCCGTTTTTGCCTCTGCCAGCGATTTCAGTTAACTGAGGTGGACAGGTGTCTCCTTCCCAGGCCCTTCCCAGCTCTCCAAAGTGACAAGGGACTTCTGTAGAGGCTGCCACCCCCTGCTGCTCCTCAGCTCTCCAGAGCTGGTGGGCAGAGTCTGCTTCTCACTGCACTGCCTTGGTTTCCTGCAGACCTAGATCACACATGCCCTAGGATCCCAGGCGAGCGCTTCCTCCAGAGCGCGCCATAGCGGGGAGCCCTGGAGGGGCGGCCAAGGTGGCCTGGGAGGGAGCTCCCAGCACAGCAGGGTCCGGCACAGAAGCCGGGGCGTGAGATGCCATGCGTTCTCCAGGCAGCAGGACCCCCTTCCTGGTCCTGCCCCGCTTCCTTTGGCTGGAACCCGGCCAGGCCCAGAAAGCCCCAGTGCTTGCTGCACCTGGTCAGGCTCCTTCTGCAGATCTCCAGACAGACTTGGATGATGTGAACAGCCTGCATCTAGTGGACTTTCCAGTTCAACTTGGCTCCCCCCGCCCCGAGCCTCTCTTCCTCTCAGAATTCTCTGGAGTTTGTTTTTTCTTTTTTTTTGTGGTTTGGTTTGGTTTTGTTTGGTTTTTGCTGAGGCAGTCGAGGTTAAGTGGCTTGCCCACGGTCACACAGCTAGTAAGTGTCAGGTGTCTGAGGCTGAATTTGAACTTGGGTCCTCCTGACTCCAAGACCGGAGCTCTATCCACTGGGCCACCTAGCTGCCTCTTGGAGTTTTTCTTTTTGGGGAAACAAATCCTTGGCAGGCTCAGCGCACGAGGAGCTTTCTTTCCCTTTTTGTGCTTGCTGATGCTCCCTGCCAGAAGCTGGTCTGGAGTGTGGGTGGGCAAGGCGCCACGTGGCACCTGACGTGGACGCCAGGTGGAAGAGGAAGCCAGCACGGGGACCAAGGGAAGGAGCCAACACTCCCCTGTGTTTCCTTCTCTTCAGGTGGTCAAAGTAGGCCTGGTGGAGGACTCCCCTCTCACAGCAGGTGAGATGAGGGGTGGGTGCGCTCTCTGCTGCAGGGTCACGGCCAGGGGGGCGGGGCGCGGGGCAGGAGAGCTCTCTGGGCAGCGGTGTCTCTCCTCCTCAGGTGACGGTGACGACACGCCCGTGGTCAGCCTCACTGTCCCCTCCACGTCCCCACCTTCCAGCTCTGGCCTGAGTCGGGATGCATTGGCCACGCCCCCTTCCTCCCCCTCCATGAGCAGCGCGCTGGCTGTGGTTGGGTAAGCCTTGCCACCATCGGCCCCCCGCCCCACTCTCTGCCCCCGCCCAGTACACCTCGAGGTGAACTCAGCAGGGGCCAACCCTGTGATTTTGTTGGGAGAAGGAACTCCCCAGGAGGGAGCCCCCTCTGCCAGTTGGCACCCCCCTTTGCAGCTTAGATGTCCTAGAGGAGCACGGGCCAGCTCGGGGTCCTCAGAGGCAGGCGTTGGGCCCGTGTCCCTGGGTCTGGGGCCAGCTCTCTGTCCATTTGGCCAGCCTGGCCCTCTGCTGAATCTCTTGGGGTGCATGAGCCCCAGCAGGCCTTCCCACAAGGCTCGGGCTCTTCCCCAGGAACAGCCAGGTGAAGTTGGAGGGGGCTTCTTTCTGCCGTTTGTGAGGGGGGTGGATGGTTTCTGCCGCCTGCAGGGAAGCAACTGAGGCGTCCTCACTGACCCTCCTGGGTGCCTCTGGTCAGCTCCACCTGCCCTTGACCTTCTCCTCCTGTACCATCAACTTCTCCTGGCTTTGCCCGGTGGGGCAGTGGGAGTAAGGGCAGTCCGTGGCCCTGCGTGGCGTGGCGTGGCCCCGTGGACAGGCCTCCGTCTCCCTCTGTCGTCTCCTACCCCCTGGTTCCTTAAGGAGGCCTCTTTGTCTGTGATCCAGCTGCCCGGCTTGGCCCTTCTCCCCCTGATACTTACTGTCCCTGGGCCTCACCCCTGCCTTCCTTCCCCATCCTGGTTTAATATTTAAAAACGAGAACACCTAGCAGGAAGGACGATGTGGCCTCTGTACCTATTATGTCTGACGCCTCCTTTCAGGAAAGCGTCAGCTGCTTTTCCCCCGTGGTGCTAAAATTATCCTAGAGCTCAAAGTGCTGTGAAACAGGGAATGCGCTCAGTCCTCGGGGCGCCCCCTGCCTCTGAGGATCCTGGGGCTGGCTTGTGAAGGCTCTCCTTCCCCCACCCCTGGTGGAGTGGTTGGCCGCACCCGTTGCCCCTGAAGGCTGCGGGCCGTCCCCCCGCATCAGCCAGACAGTCCCCAAACCCCGACATGACCAGGTCGCTCCCCTGCTCAGACACCTCTGAGGCTCCCCAGCACCCCAGCCTGGCATTGAGAGGCAGAGCCACCCTCGGGCATTTGTAGAATAAGGGAAATGGACCGAGGAGGCCTGGAATGTCAGGCAGAAGCTCAGGTTCAGTGGTGCTGGAGGGGACCTTCACACCTGGAGAGCCTTCCCGTTGGGCTGCGCAGAATCCCTCACAGCCTCCTTGGCGCTGACTCTGACAGGAGGCGCTCACAAGCCTCTCTCTCTCTCTCTCTCTCTCTCTCTCTCTCTCTCTCACACACACACACACACACACACACACACATACACGTGTGCACACAGTTTCTCATACACATTCACATGCACTCCCACTGACACACACTCTCACACACACATTCACATGCACTCACACGCTGTCTCATACACGCATTCACATGCACTCATACTGACACACAACACGTGCGCGTACACGCTGTGTCTCATACACACATTCACGCACGCATGCGCTGTGTCTCACGCATTCACACGCACACACTGTGTCTCATGCACGCATTCACACACACGCGCTGTCTCATACACGCGCTCACACGCTGTCTCATACACGCATTCACACGCACTCACGCTGTGTCTCATACACGCACTCACGCACGCGCTGTCTCATACACGCATTCACACGCACTCACAGTCTCATACACGCATTCACACGTACTCACGCTGTGTCTCATACACGCATTCACACGTACTCATGCTGTGTCTCATACACGCACTCACACACACACGCGCGCTGTGTTCCCGCTGTCTCCCTGGGGAGCCCGGGCTCCGCAGCTCTCCGGCAGGGCTGCCCAGTCAATGGACAGTCCAGAGGAGGGGAGCCTGGGCTCCTCTTCCCATCCCCCGCCCCGCCCCCAGGAGAGCGGAAGCCCTCCTAGGGCAAGCCGGCTCGCTCCGCCTCCAGCTCCTTCTGTCTCCGCTCGCCTCCAGGAGTCCCAACAGCCCGTACGGGGACGTCATCGGCCTGCAAGTCGACTACTGGCTGGCCCACCCTGGGGAGCGGCGGCGGGAAGGTGAGAAGAGGGACGCCAGCTCCAAGAACACCCTCAAGAGCGTCTTCCGCTCGGTGCAGGTGTCCCGGCTGCCACACGGCAACGAGGCACAGCTCTCCGGCACCATGGCCATGACCGTGGTCACCAAGGAGAAGAACAAGAAAGGTGAGCCCTGGGAGGCTGCCTCGCTCCGCCCCGGTCGGGGGTCGGGCAGCCTTCACTGTCTGTCTGCCGTGCTGGGAGAAGGGCCCCAGGGCCGGGCCTGAGCCGGGCCCTGACCAGGGGCTACTGTCTGCTGGGCGGCAGGATGCCCCGGGCTCTGCTTGATTCAGAGAGGTTCAGACGTGTAGACGGAGAGATCTTCCCGATTTGGCCGCGGCTTGAGGCAGGGAAGGAAACAAGCCGAGCCGGCAGGATTCAGGGTCTGAACCCCCAGGCCCCTCCTCAAAGCCTTTTTTTTTTTCCTCGATTGACAAGACTAGCTTGGCCCTCAGGGTACATTGTGCCAGTGCCTGCCATGGGGCCTCGGGTCCCTGACCCCTCCTTTCAGGTTCTAGGTCCCTCGAGTTGAGAGACAAAGCAGGAGAGTGCATGTGTGTGTGCTGGGGCGGTCAGCCTGGCGGGGGCGGCAGGGCCCTGAGCCAGAGCTCACCTGGTGCTGGGAGGAAGGCTGGGCCCCCCCCGGGCCACGATCCCTCCCATTCATCTCTCTCCTTCCTCGCTGCCCTGCCCGCCTCTGGGGCTGCGCGACAGTGTTCTTTCCCTGGATGTGGGCAGAATGCCCGTGCCCTCCGTCTCCTCGCAGGGGACCTTGGGCATCGGAGGAAAGGAGGGCAGGGCGGGGGTTGCTGTGCCAGTGGCCCTGATGGGTGGCATGCTTGACAGTGCCCACCATCTTCCTGAGCAAGAAGCCTCGAGAGAAGGAGGTGGATTCCAAGAGCCAGGTCATCGAGGGCATCAGCCGCCTCATCTGCTCGGCCAAGCAACAGCAGACCATGTTGAGAGGTGAGGAGGGGTGGGGTGATCGGGGAGGAGCTGAGGGGGAGGGGCCCAGCGCCCTTGGCCCCCTCCCCCCTATCATCCCCCATTCCGAGTGCCCACGTCCTTGTCCCCTCTCTCCCCCTCTCCCAGTGCCCACGGTCCCCTCCCCACATCTCCCCCACCCAGTGCCCACGGTCTCATCCCCATCTCCTGCCTTCAGTGTCCATCGACGGCGTGGAGTGGAGTGACATCAAGTTCTTCCAGCTGGCTGCTCAGTGGCCCACTCACGTCAAGCACTTCCCAGTGGGCCTGTTCGGCGGCAGCAAGTCCACCTGACCGCCCTGCCTCCTGGCCGAGGCCCCCGCTGTTCTCCCTCGTGTCGTCTGCTGGTCCGGGGCACCTCCTGGGGGAGGGGGACGCCGGCAGGCCTGGGGCCTGAGGGACGCTGCCACTGGGGAAGCTGGTCACTCCCCCCACCCCCTTACCTCTCCTCCCCACCCCCTCACTTGGGCCCTGAGCCTCATTACTGGAATTTAAGCAAACTCTTCCAAGGGGGCCCCACCCCCAACCCCTGGAGCCCGAGTCCACCCAAGGACAAAGCATCGCTGGCCTCTACCTCTGGGTTCGAGGCCACCATCTCCCAAAGTTACTTGTCCCCTTCCTTTCAGGCTACGGTCCCCTGTGAGTACCCAGCGGTTTGTCAGGAGTTAGTCACTGCGCCCCCACCAACGTCATCTCTGCCTGAAGTCAACTTGGCTGTCCCCAGGGAGACAGAAGGTCGGCCTGAGCCCACCGGGACAGAGGCAGGCAGGGTGGCTGCGCCTCTCCATCTCCTGCCCCCCTCCCCCAGGCCCTGCCCAGCGTCCCCAGTGTCCCAGGAGTGTCCGTGTAGATGTTGTGTGTGTGTCCTCGAGCACTCATTGGCTTCTATCTCCCGCGCCCCACCCCACCCATCCATGCACTCCAGGCCCTGTGCCCTCCGGCTCCTCCGGTCCCAGTACTCCATCTGCCCGCCTTGCAGCTGTGTCTTCTCCCCTCCTCCCTCTGTGAGCCCCCCGCCCTAAGGAGCAGCCTCCCCAGTGGGGCCGAGACCCTGCTAGGATCCCTCCTCTCCAGCCTCATTCTCCTGCTCCTCCTCATGGACGCCAGTGTCTGAGCCCTAGCTTCCCCCTCCCCCACCCCAAACTCTGGGGGGATTTTAATGCAGGTCAGTCCTCCAGTATTCTGTCCACGAAGGCCCTCTTCCCTGCCCCAGAGTTTGGAAAGAACTTTGTCCTGAAAGGCGTCCTCCTAGCTCGGCCTCCTGTCCTGTGACTCAGTCCTGCCGTCCAAAGCACCTTGCCTGGGCTCAGCTGTTCTCTTGGCTGGGGCTGTGGGTATGGGGGGAGTTGCTGTTGGGATTTTTCATTCAATAAACTGGTGATTTCTTACCAGCTGCCTGGGAGTGTGTGTGTCTCCTCTGCCGGCTGAAAGGCAGAAGAATGACTTCCTTATTTAGGGGAAGCGAGGACGTGGGAAGGGACAGCTGCTTCTCTGCCAGGCCCCATGCCCTGCTGCCCTGACGCCCACTCTCGTTCCGGATCTGTGACCCAGAGCAGCGGCGGCTCCACGTTAGAGCCCACGAGCAGCTGCTTCGTGCCAGGCTGGAGAAGCCTGGGCTCTGGGGAAGGACGTAGCTGGCCACTCTATGTCGTCTGTCCCCCTCCACCCCAGGAATGTCTGGAGGGCCCAGGGCCAAGGCGGAGACTGCAGTGATCCTCCCAGCGTCCACTTCTTCTGAGGATATCCCCTGCCCTGCCCCACCTCCCACACAGCTGGGGTTTGGGAGGCCTGGGTGCAGCTAAGGTTCAGGGTAGCGGTTCTGTAGACCCCAGGGGTGGAGGAGAAGATGGTAAGGAGGCCAGGAAGATACTTGTCATCCCAGGGCCTGAGGAAGCCCACAGGGCCCGGCTTCCTCCCTCCTCACTGGGCCCCAAGCCTGTCTGCTGAGCCGGGGCAGGGAAGCCTGTTGCTGAGCTCCATTCTTTTCTCAATCCACTCATGCCTGGCCCTGAGGCTTATCTCACCAGGTACTCTGCCTGCGGCCTTTGCTAGTGTCCAGTTGAGTGGGAAGGAGGGGGTTCCCTTTCATCCTGGCCTCTCCTTGGTCCCTTCCCTGCAGCACTGGATTTCAGAGGCCCCACACATTCAGTGATCTCCACCCCATTTCTTATTTTTTTTTCCTTTTTTTCCAATTACATGTAAAGATAATTTTCAATATTCATTTTTATAAGATTTTGAGTTCCAAATTTTTTTCTCCCTCCCCAAGACGGCATGCATTCTGATATAGGTGATACATGTACAATCATATTAAACATTTCCACATTAGTCATGTTGTAAAGAAGAATTAGAGCACCAAAGGGAAAAGCCATGAGAAAGAAGAAAAAAAGCGAGCAAACAGTCTGCTTCCATCTGCATTCAGACTCCATAGTTCTTTCTCTGGATGTGCATAGCAGTTTCCATCATGACTCTTTTGGAGTTGTCTTAGATCCTTGCATTGCTAAGAAGAGCGGAGTCATTGCACAGTGTGGCTGTTACTGTGTACAATGTTCTCCTGGTTCTGCTCACTTCACTCGGCATCAGTTCATATCTTTCTGCTCTCCACCCCATTTCTAACGGGATTCACATGGAAACCAGAAGAACTCTGGCCCAAGGAAGGACTTTGCAGGTGGTAAGCGTGCGTAAGATTGTCAGAGACCCCCCCAAACATAGAGCACTGACCAGACTAGTGCCAAGTGATGTCTTTGGACGTATATACTGTCACTGGAGTTCAGAAGGGGACAGAAACAGCTGAACCCCGAAACTGCTCAGCAGAGACCTCAGTGTGACCCCAGACCCCACAGCTCCAGTGTCTGTGACCCTGGCCAAGTTGCCCTGCAGATGAACGAATGCACGTCTGATCATTTCATAAGCATTTCCTTAGGGTGCAGCGACAAAGCAGGTGATGTTACATCTTCATTTCCATCGATAACGCCATCTCAGGTTGATACTGAACCACTGACATGCAGGAGGCAGGACTATGGTTTAGGGGGGCTTCCCGGCCATCAGCGTCAGTTGGTAACTGGTGTCCATGGCAAGGATAATCATAGCTAGAATTCAGATAGGGCTTGCTATGTGCCCGGACCGTGCTCGATCCTCACAGCCACCTTGGGGGAGAGGTGCCATTATCATTCCACAGGGCTAATATCCTGTCACCCCACCCGAGGACTGGGCTCTTCCCACTCTTCTTTCCCCTCCAGGCTCCCTAGGAGCAGGCACAAAGACAGCCCAGCAGCCAGGGCGGTGCAGACAACTTCTGCGGATACTTTGGGGTGATGTTGTTTGGGGGCTCTTAACCTCTCACAGATCTGACTGAAACACCATGATTCCCAGGGCACTCTCAGCAGTTCCCTACTTCCTGTACAAGTAAGTCTTAACCCTAACCCTAACCCTAAATCCAACCCCACCCTACTTGACCAATCCCATTTTATCTCCCACTGTTCTTACACATATCTCCATCCAGGCCCATCTCCTTTTCTCTTGCACTCACTCATTCTTGCCTTCAGATCTTTGTTGGAGATGGCTTTCTTTCTGCCATCCTTGGTCTACTACTCACACTCGGAGCCTAAGCTCAGCTCCCATCTCCTAGAACCTTAAGAGTTAGACATTCAAGTCTAGTAGTGTGTGATTGGTAAGTCCAATCGGCACCTTCTTATACTTGGTGAGATTCAATATTCCAACTGATTTCTCTGTTGTTCCCAAAGGCTTTCTTCCATGGCCCAAGTCTTTAGAAGCTCTGATGGTTTCTACTAAGCTGAAAAGGTTCTGGGTATGGGTCTTAAGGCATAAAGAAGTTCTCCACCATTTGACTGTCCACTAGGTGATCATTCTTTGGCACTGGAAACCCATAGAGCAGAGTAAAAACAAAATGGCCCCCAGTCCTGAGGGGCCCTCTTCCCTTTTATGGGTGAATCACTAAATTAAAAGCTATATTAAGTGCTAATGATGGGCAACTCTATAGCCTGCCGTGTGCAAATAGCATTTACTATGTAGGAATGGATTAAGTGCTTACTATGTACTACTTGTATCCCTCGTGCTAAGCACAAATAGAAAAGCAGTAGAAAAACCATCGCTCTCAAGCTGTCATTTTAATCGGGGAGACATCACAAGAGGGTGACGGGGCCAGGGAAAGGGAGCAGAGATGTGCTAAGAGCCTCAGGCATGAGGTCATATCCTTAATTCAATGTCCTTATCTAAAGGCCAAAATGACATTGTTGGGTATCAAAAGCAGAAACCATCAATGGAAGGATGGCTTCCAGGTTCTCGAGAGAGAGAGACAGGTTTTCTTATGAACCAACAACACAAGGAGGAATGTTCCACATTGTTCCTGATCAGACCATCACAAAGATAATTGCTGCTTGCAAAGGACTAATCCTTTAAGGACAGGGCAGAAAATGTCAAGAGAATTCCATTAGACCCTCCATTGTGTTTTGGGTGACTTCAAAAGCCAACGATGGCAAAAAAGATGTTGGAAAATATGGCTCATTCACACAGGCCACACCTTAAGAAAAGAGGCTGAAATGGAGGAGGGAAAGTGGGCAGGGACCTTGAGCGTACAGGCAACGTGGACATTCCTGCCATAGCTGTGTGACCGTTACCTGTGTTCCAAGCGTGGGCCGATCTCCCTCTGGAGGAGAACACACAGACACTGGAGAACCAGCTCCCCACACTCCAGGCTGTAGGGAGGATGAAGAACTCCATAAAGGAAACAGACAGGGGGCTTTACTGGGCAGTTTGAAAAGAGTTTGAAGTCAGGGAGACACGGAAGCCTTACACCTCTATGTAATAAGTAGTTTATTTCAAAAAAGAATCAGCAAGTGTTGAATGTTTGTCGAGTTGTTTTTCAGTCAGTCTGGCTCTTTGTGACCCCATTTCGGGTTTTCTTAGCAAAGATTCACTGGAGTGATTTACTGTTGCCCTTTCCTTCTCCAGCTCATTTTATGGATGAGAAAAGTGAAATAAACAGGATTACATGACTTGCCCAAGGTCACACAACTAGTAAGTGTCTAAGGCCAAATTTGAACTCAGGAAGATAAGTCTTCCTGACTCCAGGCCTGTGTTCCACATAGCACCAAAAAGTGAAACTGATTATATCTAAGGGACCCTAAATGAATGGTTACCAGTGTGTGTGTGGGGGGGGAGTCACTTCCAAAGCAGCTGTCTAAACATTAACTTCATTCGTTGCCTTTTTAGAACAAAGATCAAAACCAAAATAGAAGAAAATATAAAGTTAGAACGTGAGACATCCAAACACACTGTTGATGCTAAGAATAGGAGATGCTGCTGCTGAAGGACTGTTAACAATGCCTGTGGGGGTTTAACTGTTCTCTGCCTCCTTGGTAACTTCTGGTAACTTTTCTCTGCCTCTGCTCCCAGTTTCCATGGGGGAAGAGGGAAGGAAAGAGGTGGCTTGGAGGGGTTTGGCTACTGAAGCAGGTCCGAGGTTGAGTTTGGCGAAACCTTTGGTGAAATTTGGGGGGGGCAATGTAACACTTTCCAGATCCAGACGCTGGTTCAGAGTCTCCTAGATTTTAAGTGATGCAGGATAAGGGAAGATTTAGGAGGCTAAAGGATTAAGGAGGGGGAGTGAATCCAACCTGAAGAGGGATACTCTAGAAAGGGAGGGAGAAAGGAACTGGCAAGATAAAGAAAACGCTGGGCAGACAATGAGAGAATTCCGTTCATACAGGCAACACCTTAAGAAAAGAGGCTGAAATGGAGGAGGGAAAGTGGGCAGGGACCATGGGCATTCCTGCCATAGCTGTGGGACCGTTATCTGTGTTCCAAATGTGGGCCGATCTCCCACACAAAGGAACTGGAGAAACAGCTCCCCACACTCCAGGTTGCAGGGAGGATGAAGAACTCCAAAAAGGAAACAGAAGGGGGGCTTTATTGGGCAGGGGAAAGGGGACCTGGGGGAGGAGAGGAGGCTCGGCCCTTCTCAGAATGATGGAGGGTGGAAACATGCTACAAAGAGGAGAGAAAAGCAAAGGAGGGCTGTCTTAACAGAGTTTAAAAAAGGATTGGACCATTGCCCATCAATGAGAGTAGGAGGGAAGGAAAGAAGAGAGAGCGAAAGAAGGGAGGTGTAGAGATAGGGGTGGATAGTACACGGGAGAAAAGAAAACAGATTTGGGGCTTCTCCTAAAGAGGAGAGAGCTGGGTGCCTTGAGAAGGAAGAAGCCTCAGAAGGTCCCCTAAGTGATAAAGCAGAGCCACAAAAGCACTCAGATGAGAGGACATGTAGGAAGGATGGGAGGAAGAAGGGTAGGTAGCAGTGATTAGTACCGAAGTAGCTATCTGCTGACCTGATAGCAACAATAAAAAGGTCTTTTGTTTTCCTGGGGCATGT